TTGGTGGTGGAGGATTGTAAGAAGTGCCTTGTGAAGGGGGTCTCCATGAGAAATTAGGGTGATTTCTCCATCCCGGATTGTATGTGTTGGAGTATGGATCATTACCCGGGTTGGAGAATCCTTGAGCCGCATTCACATGCTCTTGGACTAACTCCGAAAATTGTGATGCCGAAGAGCACTCACTCAAGTCATGAGCAGGGCTCGCACAAATAACACATGCCTCGTGAAATTGAGGCTGATCTTGCTGGGTAAGGGCATGTCCCGTAGCTAATAATTGGTCCATCTTGCGGGACAGTGCCTCTACTTGTTGGGCTAACTCTAGGTTTTGTCCGACCTCATAAATGCCCCCTCGTTTTGGGGCTCCAACTACTGGTTGCCGGACTTGCCGGGCTGCGGAGGCATGGTGAAGGGAATTATCACTTAAGTTCTCAAACAATTGCCATGCCTCGGCATCATTTTTCGTCATAAATGTCCCACCACAGGACGAATCCACCATTTGGCGGTGCGGCTCAGTTAAGCCATAATAAAATGTTTGAACAAGTTGCCAATCAGGCACTTGGTGGTGGGGACACTGTTGGAGAAGGTCTCTAAGTCTTTCCCACGTCTCATGGAATTGCTCGTCATCCATTTGAGCAAAGTTTGTGATGGCTCGCCTAAGTTGGTTGGTTTTACCTATGGGAAAGTACTTCTCCAAGAACCGTTGTTGTAATTGGTCCCAAGTTGTGATTGAATTAGCAGGTAAAGAATTTAGCCAGTGTTTGGCTTTATCCTTTAACGAGAATGGAAACAATCGCAACATTAAGGCCTCATTTGTGAAATTCTGGATCCTCACTATCGAGCAAATTTCTAGAAATTCATTCAAATGCTTATAAGGATCATCATGAGTTAGTCCATGGAATGATGGGAGCATTTGCATGGTGCTGGACTTAATCTCATAATGAGCAGCAGTGGTGTTGGGTAATTGGATGCATGATGGTGATGCATATGCAGTGGGTGTAAAATAATCCTTAAGTGTTCGGTTGGGCACATCCTGGACATCAGGATTTGCCATCTCTAATGGCTCAATGTATGAATATGAATACTCAAGCCTAGGAACACGGGCAGAAGCCCTAAGTCTCCTAAGAGTCATTTCTAATTCAAGGTCCAAACTCCACAATTCAGGGCGACAAGAACGGCACCCATGCATACACTACCCACACACACACAAAAAGTTCAACTCGGTACACTAAGTTACGAAAACAGAATACTAAAGGAGAAATACTCACAACGATTCAACGAAAACGCTTTACTCGTCTTGCGGATGCTTGACGTGTAGACGTTGTCTCCAACCCCCAATTGAGCTTTGACTTTCGTTTTAGCACTTTGGGGCTTTGCTTGTGAGTGTTTGTTTCTGTTTACTCACTTTAGCGCTGCGGTTTTTTTTTTATTTTTAAAGCTCGGCTACGCTCCGCTTACACTTAATGATAGCTCCAACTTCAAAAGCTCTGCACACTTAGCAACACCAAAAGCATAAAATCCTAAACTAAAAATTAAAATAAGAATGTAACTTTAAATTAACTAATTTCGCCAGAAGTCCCCGGCAACGGCGCCAAAATTTGATGAGTCGTTGAACGCACCAAAAATAATCACTAAACTATACCAAATTCTTTTAGAATAATGGCAAGTTCAGGTATCGATCCACAGGGACAATTGTGAAATTAAACTAATTTAATTGTTAAATTCCTAAATTAATTTTGATAAAAAGATTGATTGTTCATAACCTAATTTAATAACAAATAAATTAAACTAAGGAATTAAATTATCAATAATAAATGAAATTGGGTTTACTGATTTAGGGGAAAAACTAGGGTAAAGAATCCACCACTAGCCACGTAATTAGGGTTTCCAATTGAAATCAATTATGCTATGGTTTGAACGGATTAATGTTTCGCAACTACAAGCTCAAAGCATTTAACAAGAAGATCATCACATTCAATGTACGAGCACGAACCATCTCAAGTAATACGAATCGTTCACTCTAAACTAAGGTAGTGATACGACTCGTTCCTCGTAGCATGGTTCGTCTCATACCTTGAATGTGAAGGAATAGAAAAATCATGTATGGATAACATTCAACAATCACAGAAAATCAAATATTCGAAGAGATGATGAAAAATATATAAAAGAAACTTCTAAATCACTATACAAATGTTCAAACCTTTACATAATTAAAAATCAAAAAGAAAACAAAATAATTACATGGCTTGGGTTTCATCAACACCCTAGAAAAGGAGACTAGCCACTCATGGAGGAGTGGAAGGAGGTAGATGGAGAAGGAACCACCATGGGAGACATCCTTGAAGCTTTTCGTTTCTCTTCCCTTTCAAACCCTAGCCTCTCTCTTTAGGTCAAAACAAGTTCAGAACCCTAGAAAAGCCTTTTCATTGCCCTTTTATGCATCCAATCTCGTCCAAGCAGGTTTAAAACGTTGAGCTGAGTTTCCTAGAAAAAGTCAACGCACGTGCGGGAAAGTCAACACATGTGCTGGAAAAGTCATCTCTGTCCAAATTTTGTCTTTTTGCCCATTTTATGCTCCGACGATGTACAACCTGATTGGCATTCAACACACATAAAGCATACAGTTTGACCAGCAAGTGAAGTTAAGAGATTCTAATTAACGGCCTCAATGATGTATAATTCGGCCTTAATCAACAAGCTAGCCCATGTAGGCCGAAGCCATTGCCAAAACGTATTTCAAACACTTGGGCCAAGAAAAAGCCAACGACAAGGGCAGGTGGACCCAGGGAGAGAATATATTAGGGGGACTTACCGGCCGGTCCCATGGAAGTAAGTTACTACCGGCCAAGTCCTGTCCTATATCCATTTTTAATTTTACCCTTCAATATCACACTATACGCATGAAGCAAGAAGCATGCTCACAAGCTCTCCCCTGTGAGCTCTTCCCTATATGTTGTCTTCCTTTTATTCCTTATATATTGTTCTTTTTGTTCCTTTTGTTCTCTCATGCTCACGTACATACACACTCACTCACTAATTCATAAAAACACATCTACACACTTACTAAATCGCAAAAACAAATTCACAATAATTTAGCAGTGATAAATTAATCACTGATAAAATGCTATCAGTGATAAATTTCATACTCACAAACCTCAGGCGTTGTATTTGTAATTTATCCAAAAATTTATAAAAGATAATAAAAATTTGGTATTTCTTAAGAGCACACGAACAGTTACAGAGCCACATGGTGACCAGGGGGGTCACGTGCCTCTCCTGGATATTTTTTTTTTTAACATATGTATATAAATAAAATTTTAAACAAAAATAATATTTAGAATAAAATGTCAATGGCATTTTTAAATTTATGAAAACAATAGTGATTGTTTTATTGAAAATGAAGTGACTACAACAAATTGTATTTTTATGTATGAAAATTTTGTGAAAAAAATTTAATATAAATGTAATATCCATCATTATTGATATTTAAATATAATTAATCTCACTATATATATGTAAAAATTATTAGAGTGTTAGTCATATTTGCATGTGGAGTTCACCCTTCATATGTTGCTTTACTATTGGTTAGTGATATCATATGTCAATAATGACGTCCTATCACTATTATATGAAATTTTTACTCAAATTTTGTAAAACTTTGATTTATCTTACCATTATATAATTTATTTTAAGACTTAAATATATAACTTTTTTAATATTTTTCATGATACACTAGTTACATACAATACTTTCTTTTTAATTTTACTCGAAGTTAATTGTAAAATTTTATGTGAAATACTTTTGTAATAATTTATTTAAATTTTTGTACTTAATATTAATTCAAAAATTATTATTATCTTATTATTGTTGGTTATGGAAAAAAAATTAAAATTCTAATCAATAAATGTCCCTTCTGATTTAGTTTCCTAACCCCGCCGCTACACACGAATACCATAATTTAAAGCCATTTTTTTAATTAGCACTATAAATATTATAAATTTCATAAGAAAAATAAATCAATCATAAATTGTCGTTTCCATATAAATCCATGGGGAAATATCAAATTAGTGATTAATTTTATGAATATTAATAATTAAAATTATGAATTTTTTTCATAAATATGTAATTAATTTTTTAAAAAAAGTCCACTGACCTTCATTGTGTATAAATTCCGTTTACATAACATAATTGGTCCATTAATGGCTTACTTTTCTCTACCATAGCTAAATGAAAATCTGAAAATTAATAATGTATGTTGTGTTTTAGATCATAAATTTGAGTAGAGATTTGGAAATTAAATAATAAAATATATGACTAAAATGTAAATAAAATATAAGTTAAATTTTTTTTCTTTATTTCTCTTCTTTTTTTTAAAAAAAAAAATTCTATTTAAATTTATGATCTAAATACAATAATAATTTTTTCAAAAAAGAAATACAATGATAATAAAATTTTACAAGTAAAACATAATAACTCGTTTTTGATATATAGTTAAAAGTAAAAATTAACTCACTAAATATGTCTATTTTTCATTAACGGAACGATCTATGTAAACAATCCACACGGTACATTGGGGTGTTTAATAACTTTTCAGCAAGAAGAGCAAACGTGGTTAGGGTTCCCAAAGTTATTAAATATACAGTTGGAATGGTTTTGTTTCACTAAGGATCCTCTAGAGTGAAATTTTTCTAAAGTTTCCTAGAGTGTTATAGTGTGTGGTTGAGATTTACTGGCAAGTCACATCAGAAAAATTGATGTGACTTACCAGTAAATCTCAACCACACAATGTAGCACTCTAGGAAACTTTAGGAAAAAATCACTCTAGAGGATCCTTGCTCGTTTTGTTTGACGTGTCATCTTTTAAATGTCCTAGAATTTAAATCCTTTTTGTGCTTATAAATAGCAGCACGGGTTTGAGCTAGGGAAAGCACAAGAAAACAAGGAACAAGTAAAAGCGATTATTAAGAGAGAAGTGAAGACAAGAGAAGAGAGAGATAGAGAGAATGGAATCCGTAGGTGTCAAATCAGTCATCACCGATAAATACCTGCGGCCCATGAAAGATGCACGTCTCTCAGCCAACGGAAGGGGTAACCCACAAATGTACCTTGAGAAGGCACGTACTGGAAATGATATGTACCACATAAAAAGTCGTGAAACCAACAAATACTGGCAAGTGAAATCGGCGGGTGACCTATGGATTACGGCTGATGCTGATGTAATTAACGAAGACCAAAGAAGTTTGGCATGTACTATGTTCCATGTCAACTGCTTCGCTACTTCTGCTACTGATCCTGTTGGTAAAACAGCCCGACTTCGCCACGGCAATCTCCAACGCTATGCATGTGCTTTCAAGGATGGCGACGATTACTACTTACGCGCAGTATCTGACAGCACAGACAATGACTCCAAGGATGTCTTTGTCTGTGAAAAATTCTAATAAACCACCACCACCAATTTATTGGTGGGTAGATGTTTGTGGGTAACATCTCTGCAAACCCTCACGAGACTTCACTCGTCCTCTAAGGATAACTTAGGGGTTTAAAGGCTTGTTGCACATGCTAAGTGCAATCGCATTTCTTTGCCTGCGAAAATGGCTGCTTCTTCTTCTTCTTGTTCTTCTTCTTCTCCTTTTCTTTCTTTTTATGTGTGTTTCATGTTTTGCTTTTATTAGTTTTCATTTTCCAGTGCAATAATGTTGTGAAATATTGCCTACTAAGATTATTTTGGCAGGCACCATAATAAAATAATTTGTGTTTCCCTTACTTTTTTCGGACCTTTTGCATGTTGTTGTTGTTGGGGTGTTCCTTATTTATAAAAATGAACCATGGTTATGATTTTTCAAAATTGATTATCAATATTTTAAAACCTAATTTATAAAGTTATTGAATCAGTATGATTTTTTACATCAATTATGATCTATATATAATAGCTTACAAAATGAATAGATTAAAGCATCAGTCGATCGGGCGTACAAGGCCCAAATTGAATATAAATTAAATTAGGAGGAAATTTTTGTGGTTTACATGAAGGACTATATGATAATCTTTGTATTAAATTAATGATGCACACAAGCATATATGTATATATATATATATCAAAGAAAAATAATATCCGCACCCTCCTTTTCACTTCTCACTCTCATTTTTCTTTTCAGTTTTGTTCATATTACCCCCTCACAAGGGGAGTGTAATATGATTGACTAAAAGGAATGTGTGATTATTATTTTTCATTTAAAAACATAACATATCATCTCAAGAAAATAGGTGTCACCGACTAGGCTAATTGGTCAAGCTTAACCAAGCTCGTTGAGACATTAATTAGGCCTAAAAAGTAAAATATTAGAATGGACAAGCCATGTAGTAGACCCAAGTTATTGCAAAAATATGCTCCAAATATTGGGGCCAAGTAAAGTCGAATAGCCCATGCTTAAAAGTATAATCATTCAATGAGTAATCTAAATAAGAACTACAACATAGTTAGATCAATGAAAAACAAAATTTATCCAGTGATTGCTCTAAAAAAATTTAGTTAGGGTAGTTATTAAGAAATTTAAACTCTATCAACTATATATAAAAATAAATAAATAAATAATCATATATCAAAAGGATTCATTTCTATAAAATCGATCGAGTCAACATAACTTTGCTTAAAAGAATTTATTAAACTGAAGTTTTGTACTTTTAATCAATTTTTAAACTAGATGATTTTAAAACTTAAAAATAATAATAAAACTCAAATAAATAAATAGAGCCCAATGGATAGCTAGTGGACGAATAAAAAGCATGCACATGAACCCAACATGGACAACGATAAGGTGTCTCAATTGTGCGTTGCATTTGAACCCCAAAGCGATTCATCGTCTCCTATTGAGTTGATTGGTTTGTTTTTCATCTTTTTTACTCAACTTATTCGGCTCAAGACCCAACAAGACTGAGGCCCACCATCATCAATGGCCCAAGTCAAAGACCATCTATAAAAAGATCAAGGTATGCACCCAAATCCTAAACTCTCCAATACTACAATTATTCGATTATTTTGATTTTTTCATTGATCATGATATATACACAAGAATTTATAAGATGAATAAATCAGAATAAAATTGATTGCCAATATGTGAGCCCAAACTGAACATACAATAAATTACAAGAAAAAAATTGAGGTTTATTTTATGATTATATGACAATTTATGTATTAAATTAATACTATACACAATATATATATATATATATATATATATATTTGTGTGAATTAAAAAAGTAAAATAATATTCACATCCCTTTTA